GTTCTACACATATTTAGGCAAGGATATCCATTAGAACTTCATACTGATGCTAGTAGTCAAGGCTTTGGTGCGGTATTACTCCAATTGTCTGATGATGGTAATTATCCCCCAATCCAATATATGAATAAGAAGACTTCACCGCAGCAAGAGAAACTCTGTAGTTACGAATTAGAAGTCCTTGCAGTTACAGAAGCTCTGAAGAAATTTCGAAACTATTTGTTAGGGTCTAAATTCAAAATTGTAACTGATTGTAGTGCTTTTCAGAAAACTTTAGATAAAAATGATTTAACTCCCAAGATTGCAAGATGGGCAATGTTTATTGAAGAATTCGATTACGAAATTGTACATCGTTCAAGAAGTCAAATGAAACATGCTGATGCTCTAAGTAGAAATGCTTTAATTTTAACATCATACACATCCGATGTAACTGAGAAGATTCGGTTAGCACAACAACAGAATGAAGATGAACATGTGAAGTTGATAAAGAATTTAGTTGAGAAGGAAGAAGAAAATGGATTCTTCCTGAGAAATGATATTTGTACAAATTTGAAAATGGTAAAGATCTGCTAGTAGTGCCAGAATCCTTACAGAACGAAATCATACAGAAGGTACATAAAAAAGGTCACTTTGCTGTAGATAAAACTGTGAATGCTGTAGAGCAAGAATTCTATATTCCCAGACTGAAATGCAAAGTTGAAAAAGTAATTGCTAACTGTATAGAATGTATACTGTACAACAAGAAGCAAGGAAAAGCAGAAGGATTTCTTCATCCTGTACCGAAAGAAAACGTTCCCTTGAGTACGTACCATGTCGACTTTATTGGACCTCTTCCATCGACGAACAAGAGATACCAACACATTCTAACTGTGGTCGATACTTTTACGAAATTTACTTGGTTCTATCCAGTGAAATTACCAACTACGCAAGAAGTCATTTCAAATTGAAGCAACAACAGACTGTATTTGGGAAATCCAGCCAGAATCATTTCAGATCGAGGTAGTGCCTTTACATCGAAAGAATTTTCAGCTTATTGTACTGAAGAAGGCATAGAACATGTCAAAATTACTACCGGTATTCCAAGAGGTAACGGACAGATTGAGCGAATCCATAGAATTTTGATTCCTGTTTTGTCAAAATTATCACATGAGGATTCAACGAAATGGTTTAAGTATGTTCCAGATGTCCAGAGAATAATCAACAGTACAACTACGAGAAGTACAAAATATTCACCGTTTGAGCTTCTCATAGGCACGAAAATGAAGAATAAGGAAGATCTGAGAATTAGTGAGATATTGAATGAAGAATATCTAAAGCAGTTGATGCAAGAACGTGATGAAATGAGAGAAGATGCGAAAAACAACATTTTGAAGATACAAGAAGAGAATCGTAAGCAATTTAACAAAAGACGTAAGAAACCGAAACTGTACAAGACTGGAGACTTGGTAGCCATTCAGAGAACTCAATATGGGACTGGTTTGAAACTACGACCTAAGTTTCACGGACCGTATAAAATCATAGCTGTTAAATCAAATGACAGATATGAAGTCGAAAAAGTAGGATGCCATGAAGGACCGAATTTGACATCTACTGCGGCTGACCATATGAAGCCATGATCAAATTGATTGATGTTTGTATCAGCTCAAAACCTAAGGACCTAATATTCTTTTTTTTTTTTTTTTTTTTTTTTTTTTTTTTTTTTTTTTTTTATTCTCTTTGCGGGTAGATGATGGTGACGTCCATTCAACAGACATCGAGGACGATGCCCCTTCAGGCTGGCCGAAGCTGTGGAGATCATCGACGACCGATGCTGACTTAGCAAATTGACTTAGCTGAATTATCCCAGCATTAGCACAGTCATGTGCAAGCAGACGAGACTCAACGTGCGAATCATTCCAGACAGCGTCCAGACGTGAACGAGACAGTGGAGCGAAGCAGATCGGCTAGCTCGTCTTCAAGAGTTGAAGAAGACAGACGGTCTTCTTGTGTGTTAACTGCCTTTAAGCTGATTCACATTATTTAAAGCTAGCCATGTGTACTAACGTATTGTGTGAATGCCACTGAAAGTTCGTCATTATAGTGAATCTGTGCACTGATTACATCATTCCTGCAACATTAATTTTTACTTAACCTTTAGTATTTTTATCTATATCTTATTAATAAAATAAAAGCATTTAACAATGCAATATTCGGGCTCTATTGTTTTGCAATTAAAACCTACATAAATATGACATATAATTCAAAACCGTAGCTTTAGGCAATCGCACAGAGAATACCCACTTCACTGAAATTATGCTTTAGAATTACTAAATAAAAATATTTTTTCTAAATGGGCTATCTCAAGAATCATATTTTAGCACCAAAGGTTATACATACGTCTCGATATTGGATGAAATTCCATTGCTTATCAATATATCGTTATTTTCTCATGGTGAACATAGGTCTGTAGTAAAATGTCAAGAGCCGCATGTGGCTAGCAAGCCCAGTTTTGACATGCTTATTCTGTACCTATGATAAATCATTTGTCACATCCCAAGTTCGAAGATCTGGCTGTTCTTGTTATATAAAATAAAATGGCCAGCCGAGGTCTATTGTCACATCACCGGGACACAAAGTTTATCCCATCATCAGAAATGCAAATATAGAGTACCTATATATGCCTTAATATATATAGTGTATATAAAACGGCAACTACAACAAATATAGCAAAAATGTCATGATTGAAATTTTTGCTATATTTGTTGTAGTTGCCGTTGTTCAAATTTCTAAACTCTAAATGAAATTTCTTTACTTAGATTAGCATTTTTACTTACATTTTTATCATAATCCTAAAGGAAATTTTAGTTCACTAAGACAAATGGTTATCACAAAATAAAATCATTTTCAGGAAACAAAAAGGTGAAAAAGAGGGAATTTACACATTTTAGAACGATATTGGAGCTGTTTAATGAATGTTTGAAACATAAAGTATTTTTTAATGTTACATTTAATAGCCTTTTTTTTTTTTTTTTTTTTTTTTGGACTATAAGTTTGTATCTTGCTTTTCATGATAGAATGGCTTTTCATAAAATTTTCAGCACATTGATTACCTTTCATCTTCCACTACTTTCCAGATCCCTCAATCGTTGTGGATTTCTGCTTAGGAAGACCAGGAACTTCGCACAAATACCTTGAAAATGTACATATGCAAATTTGTATCAGTAGGTTTCTCAAGGAATGCAGTGGTACCTTTCGAAGTGTGACTTGCTTTGTCTTCATGTAGTTTCACCGTCTGAAAGTCACTGGAAGAAGTGGAATTTTATCCATAAATGTCGAGTGTAAAACATCGTCTTGATAGTTTGTTGAGTTGATTTTAAATTTGTTTCCACTCTTTTAATTTTTTATTTCCCATTCTGAGAAATTCCTCAGACAATCATCAGCAGCTTACTGGAACTTTCTTTAAATTGGTGAAACCAGGTTTGCATTTTCTCCCTTCGTTTTCGATAATAAGTAGACTTTTTCTAACTGCACTTGGATAAAACCATGTTTCATCGAAGCTCACAGTGTATATTTATCTATTTCCTGCTAAACAATATTCATATAGAGTTGTACAAATTATTCTGCGTTGAGTCACATGCTTTGGCAAAAGCTGATGAACATTAAGTTTTGTAAGCAGCTTTTTCACTTTGTAAATTTTAGGTTATTATGTTATTTAATGTTGCAGCAGACGTATTTAAAGGCTTTTCTGCACCGGCGAATTTGCTCTCGTTACCAGCGATTTAAGTTTAGAAACATTACAAAATGTACGTACATTTTTCGAATATTCGTTGAATCTCGTAGAAGTAATGATGATGGTTTTTCCTTCTCCGATTAATAATGTCGAAATTATATTGAGAGTTATTGATTAAATTGTAGTACGATGATCATGCCGACGTACCAATGCATAGTGGTCTTGTATTCTCAATCTTCCTTAGAAAGTAAAACTTCAGACGAATATTTTTATGTTTCATCAGCAATTTTAATGCCGTGTATTTCACAAAGTTTTGAATTATCGAACAGGAATATTTTTCTTCGGAAAGCGAATAAATATATCTATCAATCCACAGCTTGTTGGCGTGTGATAATTTGAGACCATAATAAATTTAAAAGTAGCAGACAATATTTCGCATTTTAAATAATGGGCTGTTGCCAGAAATTTTTATTCCAAAATATACCCTTTTTTAATTCATTATCTAAATTGTTCTAAATATCTGTAAACAACCTCTGTACAATACAGGAATAAGTGAACACTGTGGTACTCGAACTTCGGCATACAAATTATCAATTAATTAAACACACGAATTATTCTGTTAAGAAGTAAATACCCAAACAAAGGTATGAATGATTTCAAGCAAAAAATAATTATTTTAAATTTTAAATACAGATAATTTTAAAAATACAAAACCATTTCTACAAACAGTTATGTCAAGTATGCAGACATATTTTTTGGAGAAAAACAAGGGATAATATAGATCAAGGCAAGGGTGGCTAGAAATAAATTTCTTTTATAAATACTATAATGAATTTTTCTTAAATATGAAAACTTTTGTCTGAAAAACTAATGTAGTTTCTTATTTACTCAGGCGTATGGGCAACCCGTCAGATGGCTGGGACCTCTGAAGCTGATCGTGAGTGGTACGTCAAAACAACAATCAAAGAACTCGTCATTTATTTGGTATTTCTGACTATTTTATGCATACGTAAGTGTAGAACTGGCTTATTTAGAATAAAACAATTAACATGTATCAAGCTGGACATTCTAAATATTTCACTCTTTCAAATATGTTTTTTATCAACATTTTTGTTTCTATAAACTCTGTTAGCGCTTCCAAGTAATGTGGGACACTGTTATAGGGAAGTATTTCTTAAAACTGAATTTTTAAAGATGTCTATTCGATCGGTATAGAGTTCCATTATTTAATTATTTAAAGATATTACATTTTAATAGTACTATGTATTTTACAAAAATGACATATAAGTAAATGACGAAAGATCTTTTTAGCTTACTTTGAACTCATTTGTTTAACTTTAAAATAGTAACAAATTTCAAGCATTTTGTACTTTTAAAATTAGGAGATAAAATTAGGTGCAGCCACACTCGTTTTTTTTTTTTCCTTTTGTTTTCTTTTTTTGCTGTCGACATCAGATCCCTTTTACATAATTTTCTGAAACTGTGGGTGTTCAATATCCACAGTCAACATATCAATAAATATTTATTTAATTTTGAGAAAAAAGATTTAGAAAAGGAAAATAAATAGCATTACTTCAAGCCAGATTATTACTATTAAATCAAAGCAACTACAATTTACTTAAGACATCTTTCGGTTTTATGAAAGAACTGGGACTTAAAGTCGATGAATAAAAATTACACACACACATATATATATATATACTACATAAATAAATTTTCGCTGATAACAGCGAATGCAAAATAAAATAAAATAAAAATATGTTTGAAATCAATCCCACAATCAATTCATTATAGACCAAGCTCAAAAACCAAAAAATTAAAAATGAATAAAATAAAATAAACAGAACCACAGTGGCAAAGTGTGAGAAATAAGGAGGCAAAATACGCCAAAAGAAAAATGAAAGTGAAATTTGCATTTTCGTTGCATCGTCATCAGGGGTTTGGTGCAACCAAACTTGTAAACAAATAAAAGCCACATATTACTTTGATTTTTTCCTATGACTACTTTTAAATTTTAAACTTTTCTGTGTCTTTGTCAGTTACTTCTTTTGTTACACTGATCCTCTAACTAAGATGATGTGAAAGATGAAAATTTCATTTTAATTTTTGTTTTGGCACATAGCCCCCTTTTCTTGCAGTTTGCCACTGCGCTTCTTTTTTTTTGGGGGGGGGGGTCATGTATTTTATTCCAATTTGAATATGGGATGAATTTTAAACGTATTTTTTATTTTACGTTATTTTGCATTATATATATTTATATGGCCTATGGCATAAAGAAGAAACTTACAGTAATGGGAGATATAGATATAACTCCTTATTCCTGTGGGAAAATACTTTCAAGCCAACACATATAAAGTGGCGTAGTAAGCGTCTGTTTTAGAACTTTTTATATTTTTGTAGGGTTGCCATAAGGAAAGCAGAAAAAAATCTATCTAGCAAGAAAATGCAACGGGTTGAGGAAGAAATCTTGATGCAGAATGAGATAGTTTCGACTCAGACGTATTTCATTTTTTAACTTTTAAACGTCTGAAATTATGAAACTTTTATGTAAGATCCCACGTCATTAGCGTTAGGTAAAAATCATATGACACGGATTAATTTCAACACGACGCAGTATAGAGAGATTTATAAGTGGTTACTAATTTTAGCACAGATATGGAAAATAGCCAAATTAAAATAAATATTTTAAGGAACTATCGCAAATTAAATTTAGAATTTTGACTTAACATATTGTATATATGTTACGGTGAAACACCGAAATCTCGAGAATGTCGACTTTCACCGGTGAATGTCAACATTCACATAGTCTCTTGGTGTATGTCCGAAATATTTTCCAAATACTCTTATTTCTGACTTACACCGGTCAATGTCGACATTCACCATGTACTAATGGTGAATGTTGAACATATAACAATATTATATTTTCTTCTCCGTAATTCAGGCGCGAATAAACGCACTTGAGACTTGAAATAAGAACTTATAATAACATGAGAACCTAAAACACACAATACATCAAAATGAGAAAGGAAAATAATTAGAAGTTAAAAACTTACTTAATATACAGTACGTTCTAAATGAGAAAATAAAATAACAGTAATAAAAAACTTACTAAATTTGTGTTCAAATCTTATTTATTGCAACAACTTAAACTATCATGGCACTTTATGACCTCTCTTTTCGACTTTCACCAGAGCATATCTGTGATTGTCGACATACACCAGTGAGGGTCCGAATATGCAAGAATGCAGTGAAATATTCGGTCTTCCACCGACGTATTTGGTGAACGTTGATATTCTCCGGTGAAAGTCGACATTCTCCAATTTCGGTCTTTCACGGTAACATATATATAATAATTTTATTAGCTTCTTTTTAATAATGTAAAGAATTAGAGAAAAATAAAATATAAATAATATATAATAAATAACATTTCTAATTAATCTTCATTTAACTCTATTAAATAATGTCTCTAAATTGTTATTATTATATTGCCGCCCAAATGGGATAGTCCTTAGTGATACTGACAATCGTACTGAAGGGCGGGGAGTTCAAATCCAGAAGAAGGCATTGATGTTCGTGAATGTATAGTGTCTTTCAGGCATGGGGTGGGCACTCTAAACAAAACATGACGAGCTGAAAGTCCTCGAGTGGTTTGATGGTAGGGAAAGAGGGGGAAGGAGACCTTTGGACCTCGCTCGGTGTGCTCTCGCTCAAAATTGGAGTGAATCTAGGCATAATCTTATTGTCACCTATATGGTACTCATTGCTCTTACGATAGGCATAATCTTGTACGATGAATTTCGTGAGTTTATTCTAATGAGGTCTGACCAGTTAAATTAGTTACCAGAACAACATTATTTATTCATTCTGATGAACTAACTGCAAAAGAATCGTATTTAATCTTCGTATTTAAATTTTTAAACGTATTTACTGAATTAGTGCGTAATTTTGCTCTCATTTTTTCATCTCAGTGACGTTTGGAATGATGAGTCCCAACATGTACTACTTGACCAAGGTGATTAGTGAACTGTTCTTGGAATCACCTTATGAAGATACCAGAAATAATGTTAAAGGTTCAACACAGATAATAGATTTCTGGAGAGTAAGTAAACTTAGGCAATTTATTTCTTGTCAGCAGTGTGTACACCTGTTTACAGACTAATATTGCATAAGAAATAATATGTAAAATTTTTTAATAAAATTAACTATTAATTACGTGTTTAATATGATAAAAAATTACTTTTCATGTTAATTTGCAGAGTTTTTCAGCATTTATGAGACATAATCCGATATGGAAAAAATGCTACATTACTTAGCATTTAGAGACTATTTTTGCGTTACTATGATGATTTAAAATCATAAATGTAAAGAATGCTAAAATTTAAATATTTTAAGATGTTTGGGTAGGAGACAGGATTGAATTCGAGCTTTTTTTTCTCTTTATCAATATATTTTTACTCTTCTGAGTAACTCCTTAAGACAGGTAAGGAGTTATTGTAAATATATGACCAATATTTTTTATCATACTAAAAAGGCACATCATCGTTCCCAGCATACTGTTATTTATTTTCTAGAGTAATACCTTGCAACTGTTATACGAAAGTGCAATGATGAACGATAACCATTCACTGAGTTAACTGATGTGTTCTATTCCTTTAAATTGTTCCATCTGTAATCGAAATTCATTACAACTGGCAGAGAAATTTTTGGTTTCTGATAGTAATGTACAAAAAGGAAAGGTGATTTAATATTAAAACGTGTTTCAATAAGATTGATTATTTTAGTCTAGATTGATTTTTAGCCTAGATATAATAGATTGATTATTTGAATTAGCCTGCTATAGGAATGCACGTGCATAAATTTGGTGATATATAAACAAAAAATATCTTATAAAGAATGAAATGGTATACCACTTCATCTTCCTTAACTTAAAGACTCAATAAAGAACACTATTGTGTGCCACTTCATCTTCCTTAACTTATTATGCTCAAGAAACCATGGAGGTAGGAAGTAAGATGGAGTTGCCCTAAACAAGTTTCTCCCGTACCCTGCTCTAAAGCACCGGCGATCCCTACGTGGTGACCAAAACATCGAGTCATTTACCATCGAGTTCAATGGGATTTGACGCGTTCGAATGTAAAAATTTTGTAATTACATCGTAAATATACATATAAATGTATATATTTCCTTTTTCTACAACACTATATGGTACTCTATATATGGAGTCCTAAGTATATGAAAACAACATATTTTTAAACAACATTTCATTCTGAACGGAATTAAATGCTATACTTTTCACAGGACAGTTTTCTCAGAAATGGTTTAATTTGAATGAAATTTTCACAAGTTTTCGTTATACATTAGAAAAAAATTAAGGTATTCGATTTTATTCGGTTAAGGTACAAAAATTAAGATCAAAGTTTATTGTATTATTAATATTAAAACTATGCTTATTTCTTTTCTATTTATAGGCTTCTTCCTAAAACACTTTCTTAAATATGACATGATTTTTGGCTTCTGAGGCATCTTTTAAATCGAAAAAATGTAAGTCAATTTATAATTAATGCTCTATTCGGTTCATTTTAAATTAGAGAATTATTAGGAATTAGCGAAATACTTTAAATAGTACTTGACTTTCTCTAACATTTCTGAAGGGGAATAAAATAAGTTTTTAAGTATTATTAAAACTTGTAACTGGGTTATTATAAAATGTAAGGGGAATAATTCTTTTAATTATACTTATGAGATTTTTTTTTTTTACCCTTCATTTCAACAGTACATATTCCAAAACTCTTTGTTACTTTCTTAAGTGCGCATCTCATAGCATTTGCTTTACAATACCTTTTAACAGATTGCCTTCCAATAAACAACAATTCAATTCTGCTTAAATAGTTTTATAACGATTTGTCAACAGGATTTCAATTTATGTTTACAATTCAATATTAAGGTTATTATATATTTAGATAACATTTATAATCATTATAAATTAGATACATTTAATAATTAGATTTCTTCACAGTACTTTCACAGTTGTTTATAAGTGAATAAATTCTTCATTTCAAATACATTTATAAATAATTTTAATGAATATTATGTATTTTTTCAAAGGCAGATATATGCTTTTTTGCAATAATATGCAACATAATATATGGATGTGAAAAAAATTTGTTTTATTTAAAACATTTTTGGCGTTTGGAAAATAAAAATAAAAGTAGCGAATACTCTATCAAGGGTATCGAAAGACGTATACAATTTTAAATGTACCGTAAGGTATTTTTTATTCTTTAAGCATAACATTTTTCTTAAAATCTATATTTTTGTAGTTCAACAGCTTAGAATTTTATAAAACAAATTCATAATCAAAATCGCGCTGTTGTTAGTTATCGAAAAATAACCAAGATGTGATTTTTGCGTAAATGTCACTAAACTATACAAATTGCTATTATCCATCACACTATGAATGTTTCCTTCATGCGAAAGTGTCCCTTTTTCGATTTGTATTGAACTGTCGTGTGTCGAAATACTATTAGAACCGTGTCAAGCGAGCTTCTGAATGTAAACAAAGAACACCCCATCTGGTGACCCAAGCTTCAAAGTAGTGCTTCACTTCTAGTGCCGACTGGCCCCTCCTTCCTTTCCTACCTCCATGCAAGAAACTGCAGGCGCACATCAGTTGGCGTGACATGTCTCACAAGCCAAGTTAGCAACTTTCGCTCTGTGCTACATCGGCGACGGTTTTACGTGATTTCTATAATACATTTCAACGCCTTGGGGCAAGACTTCCAAAAGCGTGGGTAAATGCTATTTCTGTATTAATCTCACTTCACCATGTGGTCGAAGTTTAAAAGTAAAGAATGCTATTAGACTGATATCGTGATGATAATCAGCGACTTCAAACCGACTCATATTTATTATTTGTTTGAGAGAATTAATGGAAATAATAATAGTTTGATATTTTAAAGGGAATTTTAAGAAAATTTTTAATAAAATCTTTGAAGGGAAAGTTTATAAAATTTAAGATTCACTGAAAGTGATGAATTAAGTTTAGGGTATTATTAACTAAAATTTTGAAATTATTTTTTTCAGTATTAAACCTAATGTTCTAAATTGGAATGCTCAAGAATAAATTAGTCAAAATTAATTAAAAGAACAGAATAAATGTCATAGTCTATTAGGTTTTAATATTAGTTATTGTATCAACGTGAAGTAAATATATGCATTACTTTTTATTTATTCTGTATTATTTAACATAAATTTGGAAGAGAACATACAGACTTATCCATAAGATTCCAGCTTAAAACGCGAAAGATTTTATAAAATGATATCCTATATGAAAATCACCAAACCGAGTTATTTTTGTAATAAAAATAAAAGCCTTATACATGCAAACAATTATTTCTAAAACAGTCATTACGGATGAAAATTACTTGCAGTTTTCATTATGTTTATTCAAATAAATACAATAACTTAAAGGTTGCCTTAAGGTTGCTTAAGGTTGCCTTTAGTTTTACTGTTATTGAAGAGCTGCTAGGACAATCCGTTTTCTTAAAATTATCTTTTTTGGAGTTATGAAACTTACTAACTGTATATTATTTTTTCAATTATTTTCAGCTTTGAATGACATTAAATTAAGACACAATAACACGCCGAATAAATACTAATTCAGAAGTCAAACAACAAAAATCAGCGTTATATTTACAAAATTTTTCACAGGACTAGTTTCGATGGTTTCACAGGTTCGATTCAATAGAGTTTGTAAAAAAGGTTAAAAACATTTCTCCTAGTAATTTACTCATGGTTTCTTTTGATGTAAAATCATTATTCACCAATGTCCCAGTGAAGGGTGCATTAAGATGTCTAGAAACCAGACTTCGCGAATTTCATTTCTCTTGCATCGAAATTGATGAGCTAATTTCTCTCACTCAACTCTGTTTGAAACAAACACATTTTGTTTTCCAAAATAAATATTACAAGCAAACTGAGGGATTAGCCATGGGAAGCCCCCTCAGTCCCATCCTGGCTGATTTCTACATGCATTATTATGAATCAAAATTGTTTGAAACTTTAAACTTCCCGGCATGGTTCCGCTACGTAGACGATACTTTTACCCTGTTTGAAGGTAATAAAGATGATTTAAATAAAGTTCTTTCAACAATGAATTCTATTGATCCTGCTATTCAGTTTCACTTTTGAACTTGAGACTTGCAATTCTCTTCTGTTCTCGACATTCTGGTCACACGTAACACATCCAACTTCAGTACTACAGTTTACCGTAAACCTTCATCGGTTTGCCTTCCACCACACTTTAAATCATGTCATCCGACTAAACAAAAGTTAGCTTCGTTTTATTCCTATGTTTTCCGTGCTCTTCAAGTTTGCTCCTCCAAAACTAGCCCTTGATGAAGAACTAAATTATTTAAAAAGCAATAGCTATTGACAGGGGCTTTCCACCCAACATTATTAATCAAGCAGTTAAAAAATTCTCATCTCAACACCAATAAAGCCACACTCTTATTTTAGGAGATTATAAAAATTCTGTTGTCATTCCCTTCTTTTCCATCAATTAGCTATAAAGTTTGCACATATTTTGCAGAAATTTAACTTTCGGGTTGTTTATTCTCCCATCAATAAAATTCGGACTTCTATACTCAAGGACCCCATTCCGGATATGAATTCCTGGGGTATTTATAGGATTCCTTGCCAGTGTGGTTTAATTTACATTGGCCAAACTAAGAGAGCCTTAAAATTTCGCGTCAAAGAACATGAGGCATATGTTGGAAAAAAGGAAACACAGAAGTCTTCTGTTGCTCAACATTGTTGGTCCGAAAGTCACACTTTCAATTTTTCTGCTGCTAAAATTATTCAAAAACATCTTCCATTGAAGAACTGGATTTTCTAGAGGCATTTCACATTCATAAAAATCTTTCTGTTCTAGTTAACGATCCTAATTCCAATCCAAATTTGTCTTCGGCTTTTAGAGAAATTATGTTTTAGTTCTGGTTTCGCCAACAGATGGCGCCACTTGCTTATTCTTGTCCAGGCTTTCTTATCTTATCTAATCATTATTTCCTATCTTGTTCATTTGCGGTTTTGCAGCTGAAGATGGTGGTTCGGTAAAACCATCGAAACTAGTCCTGTGAAAAATTTTGTAAATATAACGCTGATTTTTGTTGTTTGACTTCTGAATTGACATTAAATTGCTTATTCATTTCATACTCACTCGCGTAAATGTGATAAATTATAAATACTCAAAAACACATGGTAAACATTAAGTAGTAAATACAAATAGCTTTGCTGCATCTACAGTTTATACCATACAACTGATAAAATTTTTATATAAAAAATAAAATCTTCACTTTTAGCTGAGAGCACACAAGATTTCTGAACATAAAAACATTAGAAAAGAGTTTAAAAATTAAGTCAAAGCAGGCTGCCAAAAATGCACGTTGAATAAACTCTGAATGGAGGCTGAACTAAGACAATTAAATTTATTATTGCTCTGGAAGAAACACAATTCCGAAGAGAAACAGCATAGAAATCCAGGAAGTTCCAGACTTCCGTTTGGTACTGAGATACTGGTTTAATCTCAAATATTCAATCATTTTCAAAACGTCAACTCCAGATTACTAAAGATTACTCCTGATTACATTTAATTGCAACTGTTTACATACGAAAAAGGGCAATGTGCCTCTATATAGGATAATAATATGTAAACGCACAAAACAAATATTCATGAAACTTTATAATATAACTTGATTTACAAAAATATGTCTTCTCTGATTACAGTTTGAACAGTATGTTATGCATGATTGTTTGTTTTGGGAAAAATGGTATGACAATGAAGGAACGCCCACGCTAATGGAAGATAGGAATGTTCTCTACGAAAATCGCTTATTAGGTTCGCCTCGACTTCGTCAGCTACGTGTCAGGAATGATTCCTGTGTAGTACATGATGATTTTAAATCCTCCATATCTGAATGTTATGACGTATACTCTCCTCAGATTGAGGATACAAGGCCTTTTGGACTTATTAATGGAACAGCGTAAGTTCATGCTTTCAAGGAGAGTTTTAATTTCCAATTCAATTGTGTATTTTTTTTAGATTATTCATGTCAATTAACGAACAAATTATTTTGATATATTAATACAAAACTAAAACAATACTTTTCAAACAAGTTTATTGTTTAAATGGCAGTCTATTGCAGATCTGTTTTACATTACTTTATTCTTATTTGCTCAGAAAACATAAATTTATAAAGAATGTAACAGAATTAAGCCTTTGACTATTAGTAACAACACCTCGGGAGATTTTTAACGCCAAACTGAGAATTTTCACCAAATGCTGTTACCATTCAAAAGAGAAAGACAGCAAAAAGTGTTACGAAAATTTCCAGTAAGGTCGAAGATTTATAATTTCTCTTTTTGATCAGTAAATTGGGTATTTCGAACAGATAAATAAATTAACAACGTTCAAATAACAAACATTACAGCTATTTAATTAATATGGTTTTAACATTGTTAATACTAAAATGCATTCTGAACTTAAGATTTAACACGAATAATATATTCAATAGAAAATTTAAATTAGAAAAAGATTAGAAAGATTAGTAAATTTAAATTTAAAAAATCCAGCAGATTTGAAATAAAAATATATGATTAAAACGCAAAGACTATTTGAAAATAAATAAATATAAATATGTGCTTTTATAGTTTTTGTTTTTTATTTACATATAAAAGCGAATAAGTTTTCTGACGCTTATAAAATGGTACATAAATAATGGTTACCAAATAAATTATTTGTCTTTTTTCTTGAATGATGTTATTAATGGTAATGTACCAAGAAAATATTTTATGATGCATGTGAACAGGCAATTTGAATAAATATTTAAATCCTATACCTATACCTTATATATTAATTTAGTATCAATAAAAATATCAATTTTCTTGAAAATGAAATCACAGGGGAAAAAAGATAAGTATCCACACATTGTATAATCTCGTACTAAATCTATTCACATGAAACTGATGTAATGCAAGGATATAAATGATTAAGCTGTTATAACCATGTTTTAGTGATATATTTATTAAAATAAGAAGTAACTACCATATGTTTCCGCAGATATGACGACCATCAGATAAGATGAGATATAAATTTTGGTCAATGTTTTATAGTTGCATCATATACGTTATATCTGTCCTAAAAGACGATCCCCAAACTATTAACGGCCTGTGAATTTAGTTTAGATCAGAGATCACCATAATGGAACATATTTTACTTTCTTGTATCTCGCAGCACTTTTTATAGAAGCAGGTGCCGAATCACGAGCTCACTCGTTTCTTGCATCTCGCAGCACAGCCTACAACGTCGAATCACATACTCACATGTACCTCATAACAAGTTTCGTTGTAGGTTGTTTCGTGTGTTAAACAATGTGCTATAAGTGTAATCAGCGTAAAATTTGTAAAGTGTAGGCCTAACCATGGAGCCAACGTAAAGAAGGAAATTTAAGCAAGCTTCAAATAATAAAACAGGCTAAAGAATCGAACAATTATGCAGCAGGAAGGCCTTTCGGTATAACAAAGAAGATGGTAAGAGATTGGAAGGAAGACTGGAAAACTAGAAAAAGAATAAATATGCTGTTAAAAAATACCAATGAAAAAGTGCTGTATGAGTATATAAATAGCCTGATGGCCAGAGCTAAAAAAAAACATTGCAGAATGGATACAAAAAAAGGGGCATAATTGATATTGTCATATAATCGATCCTTTGGTCAATCATCTTTTTCGGTTCGTTTCTATCCACTTATGAATGTTATTAGTCAACTCTATTTGCAGGAAATAAACTGGGACACTTATGCAGGTTTAACAATAACATGAGCTATATTTTAATTTTGTAAATACAGTTTAACTTTTCACAAAGTATTGCTTTTATTCACATTTACATCAAACGCACAAGTAATACATTGCATCTCTCAGCTCTTAACAAAAAAAAAAAAAAAAAACAAGCTAACTTTACTCTCGGAATACAGCCAAACTAATTTCAAATTTTTTTTCACGAGCATGCCGTTCTTCTCGCATCAAGCACGTTTCTTCTTCTCGTTGCCAGATTTTCCCCTCTCCTTTCAGATAAACTGTTTTTTTCACACGAGCATGCCGTCCTTCTCGCATCAAGCACGCTTCTTCTTTTCGTTGCCAGATTTTCTCCTCTCTCCTTTCAGCTATAAGTCGTTGGCTTTCAGCTATAAGTCTGTTCTTCCGGCAGGTTTGGTCGGTAGCATAGAGTATGTGCATGACACGCCCCTGCCAAGAATGAAATTTGTCCTTTCTTTGGGACGTATTTCATTAATCAATATCCAAGCAAATTTTCTGTACATTACTTTTACACAATACCAACCTCGTACAGTATTAAATAAAACAAAACAGAACAAGCAATAAATTATTACAATCATACAAATAAACAAAGAAAAAGAAAAAAACAATCAAATTATATTAATCATATCATATTTGATCCAGACGTGAGAGTGCATCTGCACTTTGGTGCTGGATCCCTGGCCTATGACTAATCCGCAAGTTCCATTTCTGCAATGCCAGAGCCCACCTCGTCAATTTGGGACTTCGAGGAGTAGTTTCATTTCATTCAAATATCTGAGAGGGTTGTGATCCGTTATAATTTCTACCTGAGCCCCATAGATCCATTTATCAAATTTATTCAGGCCAAATAAGACTGCCCAAGCTTCCTTCTCAATGCTTGCCCAATTTTTCTGAGTTTGAGAAAGCTTTTGACTTGCAAATGCAATAGGACAATAGTTACCACTCTCGTCTATCTGGGTTAAACAGCAACCTACCGCCAAATTGGATGCATCACAATGGATCTGAAATGGCTTTCCTATATTTGGTGTGGCCAGAGATGTCACTTGGCACAAAGTATCCTTTAATTTGTTAAAAGCATTCTGTTCCAACTCCCCCCCATAGAACAATATTGGCTTGCCTCTTCTTCGTCAACTCTGTCAATGGTGCCGATATTTCTGCGTAACTGGGAATATAAGATCGATAAAATCCCATTAATCCTAAAACCGATCTCACATCTTTTTTTGTGACTGGCCTGACGAGTTTTCTAATTGCTTTGACCCTTTCTTCATCAGGACCATGCTTGCCTCCTCCAATTATATGCCCCAAATATTTGATTTTTTTAGCTGCAAAAGTACATTTGTCCAAACGTACAGAAAATCCTAATTTTTCTAAAGTGTCCAGAACCAGAGAAATGTGTTTCAAGTGTTCCTCAAATGTTTTCGAGAAAATCACCACATCATCTATATATGCCTGAGCATAATCACTATGACTCTGCAAAGCACAATTCATTTCCTTCTGGAATGTCCCCGAGGCTCCTGATAAGCCGAAAGGCATTGTTCTCCACTGGTACACTCCATTACATGTTGCAAATGCAGTCAAAGGTTTGCTCTTTTCATCCATTCGGATTTGCCAATACCCTTTTCGAAGGTCGATGCTTGTCAGCCAGTTTGCTGCACCCGCCACCACAAAAATCAATTCCTGCATGTCTTTCATGGGAAATGTTGGAGTTTTCGTTACAGCATTCAATGATCTAAAATCTATACACATTCTAACTGTAGCATTTTTTTCGCCACACAAACTATAGGATGAGCAATTTCTGACTCAGAAGGTTCAATTAATCCTAATTCTAGCAACTCACGTATCTGCTCATCTCTACTGCTTTGCGGTATGCCATGGGTATTCCATAGCAGTGGGGTTTCTTCCTAATAGCAGTAGGAATAAGTTCGATCTTGTGTGTACCTACTCGTGCTGGTTGCACTGGACGTGTAAATAATGTTTGATATTTCCTCAGTAGCCCTAAAAGTTTACTCTCCTTTGGACTGAATCTAAATTAGACATTTCTAATCCTTCCAGAGATTCAGAAAAACTCTTTTCTCCCTTGTTGACAGGTATAGATTCAATTTCCCCAAACTCTTCTTCCCCCTCCAAGATAACATTTACTGCTTGGGATCTAACTACATAAGGTCTAATCTTATTCTGATGAACATGTCTTTTGGTCCCATCGGGCATTTGTACTACAAATGAGTGAGAACTTCTCTGTTCCAATATATTTGCAGGACCCTGCCACCTAGCATAAAGCTTGTTATTAGAATCGGGAATCAAGACTATCACCTTATCTCCCACCTTAAATGTTTTTATGGTAGACCTTAAATTATGATAGTGTGCTGTCCTCTCTTGTTGAATTTTAGCTGTGAGCTTTGCCTGCTCCGCTGCCTTCTCAAACCTAGCCTTTAGATTTTGTAAATATGTATAAACAGGAGTTGCATCTAATTGTAAATTTTCATGTTTCCCTGTCCATGATGATTTTAATATCGACAGAGGTCCCTGAGGTGTCCTGCCGTACATGAGTTGAAATGGAGCCACCCCAGTTGTTGAGTTGGGTACTTCTCTATAGGCCCACAATACATAAGGAATTTGCAAATGCCACCCTCTACCTTCTTCTCTGATGACATGATGCAACATTCTTTTTAAAGTACCATTAAACCGTTCAACTAATCCATTAGCTTGAGGATATCCAGGGGTCGAAAACTTAGGACTGGCCCCTATTCGTCGTCTCTCAAATTCTTGAGTCAAATCTGCTTTAAAATTTGTTCCATTGTCACATGCAATTACATTTGGAATACCCGTTCTTGAAAAAATATGTAATAACTCCTCACAAGTCGACTTGGCGGAGAGGCTAGTTAGAGGTATTGCTTCTGCCCATCTGGTATGCTGATCAACTAAGCATAATATATACTTATGACCCTTAGAACTGGGAGGATCAATCGGACCTATCACATCAATGTTTACAATTTGGAAGGGCAGATCTGGCCTCGTTACTGGGGTGATTGGTGTCCTATCAACAGTTTTAATTGGTCTAGTCAACTGGCACTCTTTACATGCCTCGCAAAATTTCTGAACGTCTAACCTCAGACCTTCCCAATAAAAAGAGTATCTAATTCTCTCCACAGTTTTCTTTACCGCCATGTGGCCA